CTCTCTGGGCGTCCTTGGCTTGTGTTACAGCATGCTGGGTATTGACGCCAGATTCTTTCCCTTTTGCAGCATACTCTGGTGATTCTATAATTTTAAATAAAGGTTTGTAATTCATTCTTCTTCTTTTTGGTGTACGTTTCCGGGCCTCCTTTTTCTTCACAGGTTTGGGCTTGGCCTTCACCGAGTGTAGGGGAGATGCCTTTCCACCAATCTTAGCAGGATCCTTTCCTGGAGGATAGTGTATTGTACTTGAGGAGACCGTTGTGGACATAGGTTTTGGGGAGTCTGCTTTAGGTGGCACAGGGGTAATAAGATTCCTCTGAGCCTCTGTCTGGGAACTTACACATAGAAGTAACTCTTCTAGTGTAAGCTTGTCAATTCTGTCAATAGTTTTTGGGGACAGATTGTAATAGTTCATCTTATCAGATGCACACCGTGTATGTTCAGCCTGGCTCTGGCTCTGGCTCAACTGGTCTGTAGCATTTTTGGCAAAATGCATCCTATTTTCCATCAGATGATCTGCTATAGAGGCCACAGATTGATTTATTTCCTTCAGTGTGTCTCTGATTTCTGCTAAAATTCTGCAGCTACCAGGAGACTCATGTTCCCCTGTTACTGGTGTAGTGCCTTTAGTTTCTGGCATCTCAGCATTTATACAGTTCAAGTTCTGCTCTCTAAGTTTCCCAGAGTCATCTGGCGAAATCAGACCATTAGAATCCAAGGCCCGATCTAAAGCAAAATCTGACAGTCTTAACCTGCCAAAATCTACATTCACCGTACTGTTTAGCAGGCTGCCTATGAACTGGCTACTTTCCTGTAACTGACAGTTTGTCAAGAGGCTGTCAGATAAATCGATATGAGGAGTAACAGTATTCTCTATATTGATTGTTAAGGGTTTAAGTGAACTAGCAAAGTCAGTTATCTTGGTTTGCTTCAATTTCCTTGCGGGAACAGGGTAGACTTTAGCACAATGTTTAGCATTATATGTGTTAAAGTTCCCAGGAGGAGTAAAAAGCTTGGAAGCGCTGTGGCCACATACCTGGGCCTGCGATGGTTTACATAGTTGATTACCTCCACTTGTCCTGCTGGGTCCCAGGTCCGAGACAGGTGTAATTGATATTGGAGTGCCACGCTGTATCTGTCTCAACACTGGAGGAGACAGGGTAAGATCGAGTATTTCCATATTATGAAAAATGAAAAATGTAGAATGCAAATATCCACAGAAACTGAAAGCAGTCCACAACCCAAAAGTTCTCTTAGTTTAGCCGTGCTGTTCTGTTACTCACAGAGAAGTAGCTCCCTTTTCTTGTTTCCACTGTAATGCAGATAATTCCAATAGTCCGGTAGTCAAGTTTCTATCTTTCCAAGGCCAGAAATATATATTTTCACGGTGGTATTCCTAATATTATTACTCCTTTATCTTCAGAGGCATAAACAAAGTTAATGAGGCCGCTGATAAGAGCCGGGTTTTGGTATCCACTGAATACAGTCTCCGGCTACTCCCTCCTTTTCTTCTTCCAAAAGAGCAGATTCAGAGATTTAAAAACTAAAAGACTTAAAAACTGTCTAAAACCAAAGATGTTAAAAAGCTATCTAAAACTAAAATGATAAAAGCTATTTATAGCCAAGTATAAAAAGATTAAAAGGTTTAAAAGACCGGGTTAAAAGTAAAATAAAATAAGGAGGCTATATGGAAATATCAAATATGTATGAACTATAAAAAGGATTATGCTGAAAAGATTAGATACATAGCTTACTGTATATAAGAATGGAGATCATCAAGGAATGAATAGGCCTGTGTGGATATTATGGTGGATAAGAAATTTTAAAGAGGAAATGAGGAATGTGTATGATAAGAGACAGATGGATGGAAATGCAGATGAGAGAATTTAAAATATTTATTAGAAATGTAGGACGTTAGATAATTAGGTATATAAAATAGTGATGTGGAATATAACATGTGCAGATGCACACGGATATATTATTTCTGTAGTCAGAACTTCTATAATAGATAAGCTGGTATGAGAAATACCTCCCCATCTATATGTTTGTCTTGTTAGTCTTGTATGTTTTGTTAGTTTTATGTGTTATTGTTTTGTAGGTATTTCTGTTGTTGTTTGCTGTAGGTATGTATGTTATAAAAATAATAAAATATTTTTAAAAATATTTTTCTTCCCTTAGGTGAGATTTGAAAGTTTCTGGGTGCTTCTTTTTAAAGCATTTTTGCACTTTTTTTCAGAAAAAATGCAAAGGTGATAGTTGTGTAAACAGCTTGTATTTTACACTATGCACAACATTTGTTTACACAAAATCTTATATTTTAAAAATAGTTCTACTCATGTTGATGCTGAAAAAAAGCCTATTCTATATGTCCTTGTTTAGGAATGAAAAATCTCACTGCAATTGATAATTTCTTCAGTGGAATGTCTTCTGTTGAGACACCTTTGCATATTTTTTGTAAAGGATGAGACAATTTGTGAAAGTATGCATAAATATTTACAGTACTGTGCTATGGTTCAATCACTCAGTGTTACAGGTCCTAGTTTTATTTGACTGGAGGTAATAGTTTTCTGTTGCTGTCCTATTATTGTCTGGGATTAACAACAAAGTTCTTCTCTTCTTTTCTGTTGTGGCCATGAAGCTTTCCACAACAGGAGACATGTTCCCTTCGTAAAGGTTTGGCTATATGGACAAACTGTGGATGTGGAATGTGTTGGATGGGGCTAAATAGAGTTACTTAATGTTGGATCAGGTTGCATGGAGATCTGTGGTGGGTTTCTTATATCGACATGCAAGAATCATTTGATTTCAGGTCAGGAAACCACACCGCACTGCAAGGGACCCTGTTTAGTATGATCAATATCGTCCTTCCCTTTAAAATGAAAGATTTCTCAAGATCGCTAAGTGGCTGGCTGGCTCTTTAGAGATGCTTCTTAATTATCATAATGATTTTGCCTCTTAGCAATATTGCTTCTTAATGATTTTAAGAAAGGGAAAACATCCACTCAAGTCTCATTTGGAGAGGAAGAGAGTTAAAACTTTCCATTTCTTTTTTAATATTTGCTAACTGGCGTGGCATATTCAAAAAAACCCTTGAAAGCATTGCTGATTTGTTAGTAGCAATTAAAAGAAGTGCAAAATGGTCTCTCCCCTCCCCTTCAAATTAGAGCTGAACAGAAGTTTTCCATTTTTCAAAATTGTTAAGAGGTAATGTTGTTAAGAGGGTTAAGAGACTTCTCCAAAGAGAGAACTAGTCAGCTGCTTTGGTTTGATCCCTGCAACCACACACACTGGAATGCAACCAAAACAGAGTGATCCTACCCTCAATTAACATACAGTAGCTCTTTTAGGGAGCCAGAAAGGTGTGGATAAGAACACTTTAGCTGATTTGCACTGGCAATTACATTGTCTGGTTGCCAGCAAAAAGAGTGAACCACCCTGTCCCCAGAGCAGACCACACAGCAGGATAAATGCCCATGTAGTCAGATACTAAAGGACAGCTGGTAAATTCATCTGGGAGTATATAATTCTTACTGCATTGGGTATGTGACTGTCATGTGCTTCACATTTCAGTACAGTACAGAAAAAATGGCATCAGAAATGAGTTAATGGAATAATTTCTTGAGTAAGAGTCTGGCCAGTTCAGAAGAAACTTATATTTTTGTTTAATGGGAGTGATTATTCTTGGAAATCCTACATTTTTGCACTGTAGCTTCCAGAGCCTCCTGCCAGCATAGCCATAGGACTGAGGGTTCCAGGAACTTTAATCTAAAAAAAGCAACCCTTCCAAGACCTTATTACAGTGGTGCCTTGACTTACAAACTTAATTGGTTCTGGAACTCCGGTTGTAGCTCGAAATGGTCATAAGTTGAAGCACCATTTCCCATAGGAATGCATTGAAATGCAATTAATCTATTCCGGCTGAAGAAAAAAATCATTAAAAAATTGCAAGACCCATCGGTGACGCGATTTATCTGTTCCGGCCGAAAGGGAAAAAGAAAAAGAAAAGAAAACAAACCATGCAAGACCCTTCGGAAATGCAAAAAGAGCAAAGCAGAAAGCAAACAAACCGTGCAAGACCCATCAGAAATATAAACAAAACAAAGCAGAAAGCAAACAAACCGTGCAAGACCCTTCAGAAATGCAAAGCAAAGCAAAGCAGAAAGAACACAAACCCTGCAAGACCCATCGGAAATGGGGGGAACCACCCAAAAAGCAAACAAACCCCGCAAGACCCATTGGATATGGGGGGAAAACCCCCAAAAAGCAAACAAACACCATAAGACCCATTGGAAATGGGAAAAAAACCCAACAAGCAAACAAACCCCGCAAGACCCATCAGAAATGGGGGGGAAAACTCCCAATCATCAAACAAACCCTGCAAGACCCATCACAGCATAGAAACATAATCCCACCACCCATCCCAAAACCACACTGCAAAACCCATCCAGAAGAGTTTTTAAAAAGTAGAAAGCAGCACCTTATCTTACCAGGCAGTCCGAAGCATCCTCCAATCAAACACTAACTGCTGGGGTGAATGAGCTACAAAGAAGCAGCCTTTTCACCTATCAATGATTAGCAATTTGAATTCCCTGCCATTTTCCCCTGCCTTTTTCTTGTTGTAACTTGAAGTTCTGACCACACGTCGAAGCATAATTTTGTGCCCGGAGCTGGTCATAACTCGAAATGGTCGTATGTTGGGATGTTCATAAGTCGAGGCACCACTGTATTCTGCTCCAAATAATGAGCAATGTTTGCAGGTTTTCTGGTAACATTAAAACCAGTTTCTTCAAATCCATGCCCTTTCTTGTCCTTGTGATGAGGAATGCAAATGTTTCATGTTTTTCAAGTTCAGAATTTTCGCATTTATATTTAATCTGTTTAGTCTCAATGTTCTTTTTATTATGTCACAAAATCTAATTATGCTGATGAGAAGTAAACATGAAACTGAGCTGAAGTGTAACCATTTCCTCCACAAAACCACATTTTATGATGCTTACCTTGTTGAGTTTTGATGACGGAAGCTTTTAAATTGTCCAACTGTGTTTGTAAGTCCCTTATTTGTGTTTCAAGACGTTCAAACTCTAAGAGAAAACAGTTTTATTATACATCCCTAATGACATTAACTTTCATAAGCATTAAAACAAAAACATCTGTACAAACATAAATCTCTGCAGAGATCCCATGAGATGCTATTCCCCCTCTATGTAGCATTGGTTAGGCCCCACCTTGAGTATTGGGTCCCGTTCTGGACACCACACTTCAAAGGATGCTAACAAACTGGAGCAAGTGGGATGGAAACCAAGCCTTATGAGGAAAGGCTAAAAGAACTGGGCATGTTTAGCCTTGAGAAAATAAGACTAAGGGGTGATATGATAGCACTTTTTAAATATTTAAAAGGCTGTCATACAAAGGAGGAGCAAAATCTGTTCTCCATCATCCCACAGTGCAGGACACACAACAATGAGCTCAAGTTAAAGGAAGCCAGATTTCGGTTGAATATCAGGAAAAAATTCCTAACTGTTAGAGCTCTACAACAGTGGAACCAGTTCCATTGGGAGTTGGTGAGTGCTCGAGCACTGGAGGCATTCAAGAAAAAACTTGGATGATCACCTGGCAGATATGCTTTGATTGTATTCCTGTATTGAGCAGGGAGTTGGACTTGATGGCCTTGTAGGCTCCTTCCAACTCCACTTTTGTATGATTCTATAATTCTGTAGCTAAGGGAACACACCAATTTTGCTCATGTTCCAACATCTTTTACCTACAAGGACTGGGCTTGTGTTGCACTTGTAAAATTGCACTTGGGAACTAATTACCAAGCCTTATACAACCCCTCTTAATAAGAATTATATGCTGCCAAGCTGATTCTAAGTTATGGCAATCCACTCCAAGGTTTTCAAGATATAAAGTACTCAGAAGTGGTTTTCCAGACTCTTCTTCTTGTGGCACTCTGGGACTGTACGACTTAATGGAGGCTATACAATCTGGCTCTTCTCCAGGAGTTCACAGTTGGGAGCTGAATCTCTGAGTTTCAGCTCTGCAGCCAGGTGACCAACCCACAGAACTCTCCAGGTGGCTGAAAACTACGTCAGTAGCAGGATTCCAGGCAATCTGTACCAGTTAGCCAGAATCCAAGTAACTGAGTATACCTTTGGATTTTCAGTTCCCCAAGTCACATTTAGTGTCCATTGATGAAAATCTCACTCTTGAGAAAGGGCTACCAGCAACCTGTGGTTCGAGTAGGGTGATACCAACCAGCACCAACCACTTCAGTGTCAGCCTCTCCGCCCACCCACAGCAGAGGTTGCTCCTGTGAAGTGCCTCTTAGGTTCTCCAATAGGATCTTTCCCATCAAGTCTGGCAGATTAAGAGGCACTGAAACTGTAATGGGAAGTGGAAATTGGTAGACCTCTTGTGGGTAGGGGTCTTTGAACAGCAGCCATACGTAATTTTCCTTTAATGGATTGTTTTTAGTTAGAGACTCGTTTTCAAAATCTTATATTTAACGTGGTTATATCGAGCAAAATACTGCTTTCCTCCCATCTATTTATTACTGCTGAACTTGACTAATTTTAAACATCTGTACCAGTGCTTTGATTTGACAATTCTAGTGATTCTTTGCTTTAACCATATAAATATTTAAGAAAAAAATGCAATGGATAGTAAGTGGCAGCTGGAATTGGGCATGGGTTCAACTCCCTTTATATCCATGAAGCTCATCTGGGAACATTGTTTTACAGATCACCAACTCACATCCTAGCCTACCTCAAGGAGCTGTTCCAAAAATAAGTGAGCAAAATATTACAGAGCACTTGGTATACTGAAAAAACACACACACCCAGAATAAATATGCATATAGTTATCATTTAGATCTTGAAGATTTGCAGAGCATGAAAAACATGGCAGGTGCTTTTCTTTAGACTGTACAGCAGTGGCGGCACCTGTGCTACTTGAATTTTTGTGCAATGCCTAGGAGTGTTAACAGTAATAACATACATACCTGAATTATTAATGTCCTCCTTCACTCCCTGTAGTTCTTGAACTGCTGGTAATCCTGTAATGGTAGTGCATGTTAGTGAACAGACACGGCAAAGAAGCAAAGTGTCTTCATACCCCAGTTGCCACTTGAGGTGTCTTACTCAAGAATACTTCAAACTCTTTCATGAAATGATTGTTCTCGTCATTGTTGACTTTTTCTGGGAATTGTAGTTAAGAGATCTTTGGCACCTTGTCCGACAAGTTTGTCTGCAGTTTCAACTCTACTAGTTGAGACTGGATGCCATGCTTTCCTTTGACTATAGTCTGTTGCCACTTCTTTAAAAAGAAATCTTATGTCTTGCCTATGTAAGGAGCCAGGGTCATACACTTCTTGGAAAAGTGGCTTTCTTTCTTTTCTTTTCTTTTACTTATAGGCTTCCTTTCCCCCAATAAGGAGACCTAAGGTGGCTCACAATATTAAAAAGAATAGAATTAAAAACATACTAACTTTAATATTTTTTAAAAAAACCAATTAAGCTGTGTGCTAATTAAAATACAATCAAACCATTAAAAGCAAGAAAACATTAAAAACTGTTTTTACCCTAAGAAGGCATTTAGAGATTCAATCATGATTGTTAAAAGCCTGTGTAAAAAAATGGGTCTTCCGCTGTTGGCAGAAAGATAGGAGGGAAGGGGCCAGCATGTGGTTGAAGTCAGTCTAAGTGAGAGAGTCAAATCAAAGATACTTTCCAATCAAAATAATTCATTAAAGTACCAATCAAAGAGAAGTACATAAATAGCTGCTATTAAAATAAAATGTGATCTCCAGTGTGTAGGCAGTGCTCCTATCAACTGCCACACCTCCTTCCATGCCAGACCCAGGAAGCCATGCCCTCTACTCCTTGCCCACATTTTACCATTCCATGAATTCACCCTAATGCATCAGGCATTAGAAAAATAAAAGAATATAGAAAATAACGGCGGTCCCTAGCACTACTTTGACCTTGCCAAACAAATCTCACAAAAGAGAGTCGGTCATTTATCCGACATTCACATATGCATACAAACTCAGTCTTAAGTGTAACCAAGACACAGCATAGCTATCTTTAAAAAAAGGTCTCTCTCTCTCTCTCTCTCTCTCTCTCTCTCTCTCTCTCTGTGTGTGTGTGTGTGTGTGTGTGTGTGTATTCAAGAATTCATCCAGTCTATAAATCAATGCAGCACCCTCCCTTTGTCATTCCCAGATGCAGAATGCCTGCTTTACTGGGTTGGAGTATTCCCCAAGGGCACGGTAATTAGATTGGCCAGAAGATATTTCCACTCTGTGCTCACTAGAGTGCTACTGCTGTCCTCTGAAGATGCTGGCTACTGTACATAGACTGGCGAAACGTTAGGAAGAACAATCTTCAGAACATGACCAAAGAGACCGAAAAACCCACAACAACCATATTTCCACTTTCTTGGAGGTTTCAGTTTTCAATCACTTCCTGCTTTTGAGCTTCCTCCTTTTGCTATAGCAAGTGGCATCAAAGCCCCCCTCTCCCCCCACAATAAAGTTTGAGACTTCTAAACCATCAAATGTTTGAGCAAACTTGAATGATTTGTAGGGGCAAACCATGGCAACTGGAAGCTTCTTGAACCACCCTGCATCTAAACAGGAATGTAGAAGTATCTCTAATCTTCCCCATTTGGACCCTTTTTTCTGATGTTGATGCACATCCCCTAGATCAAATCATTCAATCCTGTGTGCTCCATATTTGTGAAACCCTTTGTTCAGATCAGGGGTAGGCAACCCATGGTTCCAGGTTTGACATTTTAGGGCAACCACTTCCACCAGACCTAACCAGCAGGGCTAATAGTGAGAGATTAGGAAAACTGCAGTCTAACAACAGCTGATTGGCCACAAGTTGCCCATTCTAGCCCTAAATGGTTCCAGTGTTCTCATAGATCACCAATCCATAAGGAAGTTACGTTCTGTTGGCTCTAGAACCTGATGCGAAAATAGAGTGGCCCAAGATATTTCAGGCACTGGCCATCTCTGTTATAGTGCATAGAGAGAAAAAGGACAGCACCCTCTCCTGAAAATGTTGATACCTTGATCTCTTTCTTCTGTCTCAGGAGGTGCACATATAACTAGGGTACACGCATTTGGAAACCATCCTCGTAGGACACGTCTTGTAGCCAGAGTGGTGGTTCTCTGCATAGATACACCCAGGAACAATGGTGAAAGTACTAGAAGTATGAGCATTGTTTGAATCTGGAGAAAAGATAAGAGCACAAACGACTGATAGGCAGGTTGTTGGACTAGGGAGAGTTCTCCTTCACATATATTGCTTGTTGAAAAATCCCACTTATATCCCATCTTTTTTTTGGCAAATCCTGACTTTATGAACAGAAATAGTGGGATTGTGACATAGACCCAGAACAGATCTGAACATTAGGATATCAGGATAGTGGTTTAAGTCACCTAGAAAGAGAAGTGGCGGCAAGCATGCCGAGATCAAATTTGTCAGTTTCACTTTTCTTCATGTCAGAATTTTTCAAATCTCAAATTCTTTCTATTGATCTTTATAAGACATTTACAAGGAAATTTCGAAGTACAGGAAAGAAAGGAACTTAAACCTAAAAAAGTTGTCACTCATGCCTGGCATGTATTGTTGCTTTAATCAGTGGCGATGGCAATATTTTGTCTTTTAAATTGTTCTTCTGTGGTTTGCACTAAGCTATAGTTTCGAGTGCAGCCTGCATAAGAGTGAACACAAGAAGAGATAAACATGCTATCCAGCAAGAAACTAAGATTATGTAGCATAAGGAATGCATTCAATTCTTTTCCCTGTGAGGTCTTAGAGTGCATAGGTACACTTCCTGCAACATGAGTGAATGGGGGATATTGATTCCCATAGCAAAATGTACATATTCTATACCTCTTGCAAACAATCAATTGATCAGGAAAATGCCACCACTATCCCAGGGCTGACTTGTAATCCTATGAAGTTTTACAGGAATGTAGTGCCCACTGAATACAGTTAGACCTACTAAATATGCATGACAGTATACACAGGATTATTTACTAGGAGAGTGACGAAAGAGCACATGAAAACAAGAAATCCCCACTCATGTTTCCATAGTACACAGAATTGCCTTCTGTCTTCTTTTCTACATCAATCATGATGACAGGCATTCTGATTACTCAAAAAAGCTACTCTTGATTTGAAAGAATTTTGATTCCATAGAAATCACAATCATTCCACATATCATATTCATCCATCCATCCATTTTATTCCTCTTTATTTCTTTTTCCAAATAAAGAAATATATATATTATTTATACCTGTTAAGATTCTTCCCAAATGTCCAAATGTCTGTTCAATTGCTTCGTGGTTTCCACTGTTTCACATAAGTCGTTTTTTAAAAAATCATTCAGGTCTCCATATATAGACTGGATTATGTGACAGGATTTTATAGTTATTTACTGACTTTAACAAGAAATATTGTGGGTCATGATCATGAAGCTATCTTCCTATTAGCAAATCTGTTGCTTTCCAGTAAGGTTGCCCAACGAGGTTTTGGTGTCCGGGTTCCTGCCTTGTTCGCAGTTGATAAAATAACAATGTGTGTTCAAAACACAAAGAAACTATTGTCCAGTAGTGGGAAAATATAAGCAAAGAGCAATCAACCTTTTCATTTCCTAGTGAAAGCAAACAGTTCATCACCTATTATTAACTCTTTGTAGAAACAAAGTTTCTCTGTACTTTTTGGATTGAGTAGAAACTCACAGAGGATTGATATGCAGCATTTCCTACTGCATAGAGCAAGTCACCAATGATATTGTGATGTTCTAGTATAATGTGCAGTTTGGCTGTACATGTTCTGGATTTGATGGAAGATTTTGGGAAAGTTCAACAGAAGGTTCAGTGTGTACATTTGTAAAAGTTGTTTTCAGTTTTGAATTCTAGCAGAGCTGAGCACTTCATAGTTCCATCCTATGTTTGTTTACTTGGATGAAACTCCTACTGAGTTTAATGGGCCTTGTTCCTTTGTGAGTATGGTTGGGATCACAGCCTTACAATGTAGTTTCACACACATCCCCTCAGAAATCAATCACCTTATCTTACTTCAGGGAAGACTGTGCGGTGTAGTGGAGAAAGTGTCAGACTAATACTGAGGAAACCTAGATTCAAACCCCTCATCGGCCATGGAAACTCACTGGGAGTGGCTCTACTGGAGCATCTCACATTCCTCAAAAACGTATTAGGGTTGCCATAGACGGGATGTCACTTGATGGCAAATAACAACAATATGCAACTAAGTATTTCAGAAACTGGTTCATATGTTACTGATGGTGTAACCTTGAAATAAAAATGTATGCGCTATGTATTGTCAAATCACATGTCTATGACTTTAGTGATACAGAGGATTAGTTGAGCATAAGATGTGTAGTCCTCTGAGAGAGATGGGGTGATGGCTTCCTACAACATCAGAGTCTGGGGTAGGAATATTAGGCCATGAATCCAGTTTGGTTTCGACATCAGATTTGTCCATATCGGTATCAAAACAGACTGGAGGCTGCTCCGAGGATGGAGAAAGGATCCTCAGGGACGATACCAATGGATGATCAAAAGATTTCTCAGAATATAGAGGGTGACATTTATCTCTCTCTTTGTTTGATCTCTGCAAAGTTGATCAACAAGTAAGGCCTGACAGGAGTCAGTTTGGTGAGCCTTACCTAAACAGAGGAGGCACTGAGAATGCCCATCAAATAAAGTGATTTTGTTCAGGCAATACTCGCACTGACTGAAAAACCCTGTAGAGGCCATAAAACAGCTGAGGGCCTAGGCAGGAAAAAGGGCAGGAAAAGAGAGTCGTCTCTCTCTGCCTCTTTCTCTCTTCTCCAACCCCCCTTTTTTCTCACAAAAAGAAGGAAAAATGAAGGGGAAAATGGAGGAAAGTTCTGAGGGATTTTAACTATTTTTATTTCTTTATTTCTTTCAGAAACAAACAGAGCTCTGTAATCGAGATACTGCTGCAGTGGTGACAAAAAAGGAACTGAGGCACGCTGTGCTTTGTGGGCGGGGCCAAGCCCAATGGGAGGGAGGTCCTAATAGACAAGTGTAAAAGCTCTAGAAGTTTCTAAGGTTCTCTGTGCAGGTGATTGTAATATGGTTTTCGAGGTATATGCATCTTTTTTCTACACTAACCCTTAACTCTTGGCACTTTTGCAAACTGGAAGATGTTAACGTTTTTATCATAGAAAGTCAACAATTGTTGTACCTTCTCTTTCTGACCTCCTCTAAAATATTTGAACATTCACTGTAAAGTAAGACTGTAATCCTTTCTCTTGATTATATTTACTCAAAGTGTCAGCAATTATTGCCTGTGTAATTTCCCTTCGCTTCCTTTAAAAGTTGTCAGCGCTCACAATAGAACACGGAAATCCACATGAGGAAACAGTTGGCAAGTTGACTGCTGTTAATTATTCCCAAGAATTCAATATTACTATTTATTAGGACCATTTATATTCCTATTGTACATACAAGAGCCCTGTGAGGTAAGTTAGACTGGGAGGCAGTGACTGGCCCAGGTTACCCACTGCATTTCCTGGCACAATGGATGCTATAGCCTGCACCTCCCAATTTCTGCTCCAACAGTCTTAACTATTACACTGTCTTGGTTCTCAAGACACAGTCTTTTCCAACTCCGATTGAAAAGAAACATGCTTCTTGTCTTTGGCAGTGCACATACAGATTGCTCTTGGAACTATATTTAACTTTACCCCAACATATTAAATGCACTAACTTAAAATTGAAATTACTTCATATATTATGTTACTGATGGTGGAACCTTGGGACAAAAATGTGTGTGCTATGTGCTGTTAAGTCATGCCTCACTGTTAAAGGTTTTCAGGGTACATGAGGTATTTAAGAAGTGGTTTTACCATGGCCAACCTCCTGTGAACACTCACAGTCAAGCATGGTTTTGGATCGAGGTCCTAGAGGTCCTATACTCACTGGCTCCTATGTTGCAAGAAAAAAAACATATTTTCTTTATGGTCTTTCTGAACCCACACCACTGGCCTCTCCTGTACCTGTGCAGAATGTTTGGGAAACCTCTACAGCTGAGTCTACTGGGCATGCCACTTGTTTGGAATTGCATCAGAATTGGTATGGAAGTCAACCACATGGTTTCTGATCACAGTAGGTAGAAGCACATGGAAGTTTTGGGGAGGGGGGCAAGGGAAAAGCATTTCAGGCACCAAGGTTGTATCTAATGGGATTTCTGACCCACTTACTTCCAAATAGTTCCGGAGACAAGGGATGTACACAAATGCAAAATCAGATGTCCCAGTTTCAGAATTTAGGAACTGCATAAGTTACAAGTTTTCTGTTAAAGTTCACAACCTTGGAAACTTAGACATCTACTTAAGAATTCATAAAATTAACATTATGGCCTAAATCAAGTTGTTAGTGCCAGCTAACGACTGGTTAGGGAGTAGCCCGGGTAAGTGGGGATCGTTAGCCTTGGAAGGCAGCCCATCTAGGAGAAGGAAAACTCTGATTTCAAACCTCCACTGCCTTGTGGGTATATCCACTGATGGAAAAGGCTTCAGGAGTTAACCTCAAGGCAAAATCCGGAGCCAGAGTCCTGGAGGCAGTTGGTGCCATTCTGACAACTCCTGTGATGTCGCTGGAACCAGTTGTATTGGCTCTTGCCTTTCCATTGGACTATTTCAGTGATGTGGAGAGGGGGGATCTGCTGCTTGGGTAACAGCCTATCCTGCATATTATTTTACCCAGGCTTCGTGCTCTGGAGAGCATACGCCAGCATTGTATACAGTGTTGAAATAACATGGGAAGTAGCAGTTACCGGTTATATGTCTTTGCTCGATTGGTGTAGAACATGACGCCAGAGGCTATTTCCCATGGTGAGAGAGGTCACTGCACCTCACTAGGTAGCTTGTTGTTGTTTAGTCATTAAGTCGTGTCCGACTCTTTGTAATTCCATTGACCAGAGCATGCCAGGCCCTCCTGTCTTCCATTGCCTCCTGGAGTTGGGTCAAATTCATGTTGGTAGCTTTGGTGACACTGTCCAACCATCTCGTCCTCTGTTGTCCCCTTCTCCTCTTGCCCTCACACTTTCCGAACATCAGGGTCTTTTCCAGGGAGTCTTCTCATCAGAAGGTCAAAGTATTGGAGCCTCAGCTTCAGGCTCTGTCCTTCCAGTGAGCACTAGGTAGCTACCACCCGCCTTAAGCTGGGGAGTCCCCAGCCAGTAAGGTGCTCCCTCACCACAGTCTGTTAACCTCATGGGTTGTGTGGGTTTTAGGGTGAAAGCTGACAAGCAGATTGCTAACCCTGCACCATGCAATGATCATAAGAAAACTTCTGCCCTAAAGCTGGGCACCTGGAATATTTGGACATTGACCCCTAGCTTTTCTGACAACCTGCAGGAATTAGCTGATGTGCACAAGACAGCTGTCATTGACATGGAACTGAGTAGGCTGCAGATGGACATTGTTGCCCTGCAAAAGATGAGATTGCCAGACATGGGATCTGTCAAAGAAAAAAATTCTTATTCTTTTGGCAGGGAAAACCATTGAATGAGACCAGGGAATATGGAGTTAGCTTTGCGATCAGAAATACTCTGCTGAGATCCATTGTTCCACCTACTGTGGGGTGAAAGAATCCTTTCTCTGCAGCTCCACTCATCAGCGGGGCCAGTCACCCTCATTAGTGCATATGCACCAACACTGTCTTCCACAACAGAAAAAGACAAATTCTACAATGATCTGGCAGCTACTATCAGAAGTTATTTAATCTCTTTAGATCAGAGGTCGTCAACCCCCGGTCCGCGGCCCAGTGCCGGTCCGTGGGTTGAACCTGATTGGGCCGTGGAGACAGACCTCCCCCCCCGCACGCACTCCCCTCCCCACAGCTACTTTGCGCACGTGCGTGTCAGCACCGGCGTGAGCGCTCCCTCACCCCTTCATGCAAACCCCCGTGTGTGCAAAGCAGCGGTGGGGAGGGGAGTGCATGCAGGGGTGGGTGGGAGGTCTGCCTTTGCGGCCTGGCAGCGGCGGCGACTGGGGTGGGGGAGAGCCGGGAGGAAGAGTAAGGCCCGGGTGCTCTCCTCCCGGCAGAGGCAGCGGTGGCAACGGGGGTGGAGGGAGTGGAGAAGAGCTGGGTAAAATAAAAAAAATTAAGACTCCCAGGCTTTCCGCCACCGCCATGGGTGGGCAGGCGCTCTTGCGCATGCCGAAGCGTCCCCCGGACGTAGCTTGCTTAGCTCTCTCTTGCTCGTTCTCCCCTCTCTCTTGCTCTCTCTGTCCCCATTAAATTAGTTTACTCATCATTCCTCCTCCTCCTCCTGCTGCCACCGCCGTCCCTCGCTCCTTCCTCTCTGCTATTGCCTTCTGCTGTTGCTGCTGCTGCTTCCTCCTGCTCCTTATTTTAGTACAAAATAACACCGAGGGCCACCGACTTTATTTTTTAAGAAAAAAAATGTGTGCAGCCCAAGAGAGTAAAGGAGGACGTAGCCTCCCTGCTGCTGCCTGGAGCTCTTCCCCGGCGGCTCCGGATCATCCAACACATCCTAAGAAGGAGTCACAGAGACGAGCAAAGAGGAGGAGGCGGCGGCGGCGGTGTGGAGTAAACCGAGGAAAGCCGAAGGGGGGGAGGGAAGAAAGGGCATCTAGGAACGGTGGAAACAGGAATTGGAATTTAAAAAGGAGGCTGGAGGGTTAAGACTGAAGGGGGAAGGGGTTAAAACTAGAAAGCGTGCGGGGGAGGGGGAGAGAGAGAGACGAAGGGAGGGGGGAAAGGGAGATCAGGAGTGAGAATGGAGGGGTGTTCGATTTCTGGCACAGGACGAGCAAGAATTTGTAATCAGCTTGATTAGTGTGAGGTGGCTGTGCATTTATTGCACACAATACCCAAAATAACAGGGAGCAAGGTGAACGAGAGAGGGAGAGGGATGCTGCCACTGGCAGCACAAGGCAAGCGAGCGGAGCGTATGCAATGAACTGGCGAGCGGAGGAAGGGCGGCGGCGGCGGGGATGGGGGGTGGAGAAGAGCTGGGTAAAATAACAAAAAGACTGCCAGGCTTTC